CCTCGGTGAACCTCCCTCTGGGGCCACGACGCGTGTGACGGGGGTGCCAAAATTGGCACGGGTACGCCATGCGGACGCTGCCACCGGAACCGTCGTTGCAGCCCCATTTGAAGCCACGAAACGTGTGAGGGGTGCGCCGAAATGGAGGTGGAACCACGTGCGGGCGCTGCCACCAGGGCCTTTGGTGGCCGCGAAACGTGGAAACGGTGTGCCGAAATGGAGAGGGAACTGCATGCGGAACCTGCCACTGGGGCCCTGAGTGGAACACTCCATGGGGCCACGAAACGTGTGAGGGGTGCGCCGACATGGAGGGGGGACTGCATGCGGACCTGCCACGGGGGCCCTGGGTGGAGCACCCTATGGGGCCGCGGAACGTGCGAGAGGTGCGCGGAGATGGAGGTGGACCTGCATGCGGACCCTGCCACTGGGGCCTTCGGCGGAGCACCCTATAGGAACACGAAACGTGTGGTGAGGGGTGCGAAGAAATGGTGATGGAACTGCCTGCGGACCATGCCACTGGGGCCTTCCGCGGAGCACCCTATGGGGCCACGAAACGTGTGAGAGGTGCGCGGCGGAACACCCAATGGGGCCACGAAGCGTGTGAGGGGTGCGCCGAAATGGAAGTGGAACTGCATGCGGACCCTGCCCCTGGGGCCTTCGGTGGAGCACCCTATGGGACCACGAAGCGTGTGACTGGTGCGCCGAAATGGAAGTGGAACTGCATGCGGACCCTGCCGCTGGGGCCTTCGGCGGAGCTCCCTATGGGGCCACGAAACGTGTGATGGGGTGCGCCGAAATGGAAGTGGAACTGCATGCGGACCCTGCCACTGGGGCCTTCGGCGGAGCACCCTATGGGGCCACGAAACGTGTGAGGGGTGCGCCGAAATAGAGGTGGAACTGCATGCGGACCCTGCCGCTGGGGCCTTCGGTGGAGCACCTTATGGGACCACGAAACGTGTGACTGGTGCGCCGAAATGGAAGTGGAACTGCATGCGGACCCTGCCGCTGGGGCCTTCGGCGGAGCACCCTATGGGGCCACGAAAACGTGTGAGGGGTGCGCCGAAATGGCAGGTGGTGGAGCACCCTTTGGGGCATGCGCCGACCCTCCATTGGGGCCTTCGGTGGAGCACCCTATGGGGCCACGAAACGTGTGAGGGGTGCGCCGAAATGGAGGTGGAACTGCATGCGGACCCTGCCACTGGGGCCTTCGGTGGAGCACCCTATGGGGCCACGAAACGTGTGAGGGGTGCGCCGAAATGGAGGTGGAACTGCATGCGGACCCTGCCATTGGGGCCTTCGGTGGAGCACCCGATGGGACCACGAAGCGTGTGAGGGGTGCGCCAAAATGGAAGTGGAACTGCATGCGGACCCTGCCACTGGGGCCTTCGGCGGAGCACCCTATGGGGCCACGAAGCGTGTGAGGGGTGCGCCGAAATGGAAGTGGAACTGCACGCGGACCCTGCCACGGGGGCTTTCGGTGGAGCACCTTATGGGACCACGAAACGTGTGAGGGGTGTGCCGAAATGGAGGTGGAACTGCACGCGGACCCTGCCGCGGGGGCCTTCCGTGGAGCTCCCTATGGAGCCACGAAGCGCTGTAATGGGTGGGTGAAACGCAGGGAGGAGGGAGGAGAGGGAGGAGGAGGGGGAGAAGGAGGAGAGGAGGAGGAGAAGGACGCGGGGCACCGTCTCTTCAAAACGAGGACCCAACACCACAGGATGGTGGGGAAATAAGAATAAACTGGGCTGAAATACAGCTGCCCTACTAGCGCATGACAAGAAACTGCAAGTAAGCTACCTGTTTCAACAGTACTGCCGATCTTGCCAAAGGATACAAGACATGTGAAGGTTAAAGAACGCTGGGTAGCTGACGAATGCCCAACCCAAACGCAGCGCTGACCAACACAAAAGAAGGATTCTACCAGAAACCTGTAGCCAAAGAAACTTTGCTCACTAAGCCATTACTCAAGTTGCCTATTTTGCCCAAGATGCAATACACATTCTGCCGCTGAAATGAAAGTTGGATAATACCAACAACATTGAACTCCAATTACTTTGAAGAAGTGGAGTCTGAGCTGGATCTGCTCCTCTGAGGAACAGGCGCGCTGCCTGAAGCTGTGTTTTGATTCTTAGCACGATTGAGTTTTTTCCTGGAGCGTCTCCAGCTTCTGCTGGAGGTGCTTGATCTTGATATCCTGGAGACCACACTTGGGCTCCAGAAGTCTAGAATTGGACGGGGCAGATTCACTGGAAGGGGCGGCATCGCTGTGCCCAACCTTTGCACGCTTACTAGCGTGCTCTGGAGAAGTCGAACGAAGACTGTCGACATGTTTTATACTGGCAGAAAGTGAATCGGACTCGCTACCGCTGTTTTAAACAACTGGAAGTGTGTCTTCCTTTCTTGGTGATCTGAACCTTTACCTTAGGCTCCACGCTGAATTTCTTGTATACTGCCAAATAAAGATACTGTTCTTGCCCTTTGTACTTGTCCAAGAAATAATCAAACTTATCCAGCATCTGAGGCTCGTACTGCTGGAAGACATCCGAGATCAATTGCTTGAACTGATGCCTGACTTTGAAATCCTGGCCCTGATCTCTGTCGGCTTCTACCTGACCAGCGGCCTTTTCTTTGGGATTGGGCTTCACTGCCACAAGAGGCGGCGGTGGTGGCTGCGCCTTCTCACTGTCGGCTTCTACCTGAACAGTGGGCTTATGTTTGGACTGAAACTTCTCCCTGCCAGCTGCTACCTCAGCATTGGGCCTTTCTGTGCTCCCAGACTTCGCTGCTGACGGTGGTGGCGGAGGTGGCGGGAGTGGCTGGGAACTCTTCCCATGCCAGGGGAGACCGCACTTACATAACGGCTGAGAAGCAATTCTATTAGGCCAGATCCAACAGTCTGGTCTGCCGCGCGGGCAAAGCAACTTAGAATGCGAAACAACTGGAGCTCCTACTCCTTCTTTGTGAACCCAGGGCGTCCTGGAAGACATGGCGGCAACTGCGGCGTGTGGGCGTAGGAGGAAAAGGGGGGGAGGCTGCTCCTGCCCAGCTGGCTTGAGCGGTGGCAACTTGAACCAACATGGCTTGAGCCAAAATGGCTACGGAGGAGGAGGAGGAGGAGAAGGAGGGGGGGAGGAGGAGGAGGAGGGAGGGGAGGAGGAGGAGAGGGAGGGAGGAGGAGGAGGGGAGGGGGAGGGGGAGGGGGGAGGAAGGAGGAGGAGGAGGAGGAGGAGGAGGAGGAGGAGGGAGGAGGAGGGGAGGAGGAGAGGAGGAGGGGGGGGAGGGGGAGGAAGGAGGGGAGGAGGAGGAGGAGGGAGGAGAGAGGAGGAGGAGGAGGAGGAGGGAAGGAGGAGGAGGAGGAGGAGGAGGAGGAGGAGGAGGAGGAGGAGGGAGGAGGAGAGGAGGAGGAGGAGGAGGGGGGAGGAGGAGGAGGAGGAGGAGGAGGACGAGGAGGAGGAGGAGGAGGAGAGAAGGAGAGGAGGAGGAGGGGATGGGGAGGAGGGAGGAGAGGAGGAGGAGGAGGAGGAGGAGGAGGAGGAGAGGAGGAGGGAGGAAATGGGAAGGAAGCCCGTCCGCCGAGCAGAGGCGAAGGAGGGACGTGCGGGCGGCCTCGGGCACCGGGGACCCCGTGTGAGGTGCAGGTGCAGCACGCCCAGGAGCAGGCCCACGAAGCAAGAGAGCCCAAGTCTTCCTGCTCCCCCAGCTCCTCCCACAACTGCCCCTCGCGGCTCCTCCTCCCTCGATCCCTCGCCCCCCGCGGCCCCTCCCTCCCTCCTTTCCCTCCCTCCCTCTCTCTCCTCATCGTTCACCTCCCCACCCCAGCTCCTCCTCCTCCTCCTCCTCCTCTTCCTCCTCCTCCTCCTCCTTCTCCTCCTCCTCCTCCTCCAATGCCGCACGGCCCCTGGGGCGGCCGACAAGGGCCCGATTGCACCAGCCCTCCTCGCCCTGGTCTCCGCCCCCGCCTCCGGGCTTCGAGCTGCGGGCACCGGCTCTCCGAGGTCCGAGCTGCTCGGCCTGCCTGCCCCCCCCCCCACCCCCCAGCGGCCTGCTCCGCCGGGGAAGCACGCCCTCGGGAGGGCAGCGCCGAGAAGGCGAGCGAAGGGAAGCACGCCCTCAGGAGGGCAGCGCCCTCAGGAGGCGCCGAGAAGGGAAAAGCACGCCCTCAGGAGCGCAGGGCGAAGCGTGGAGGCCGCCTCCTCCTCCCGAGTGCGACGCGCCGGGTGACATCTCGAGGGATCGACCCATGCCGCTTATGATGCCTCGCTCGGCGCCCTCGGGAACCGGTGCGCGCGCGAAGCTCGTCCTCAGTCCTCCCCACCTTCCACGCAGCTCCTCGAACCTCCGCGAAGTACAGACCTCCCAAATGGGGTAGGAGTGGATGGCGTCGGAGGATCGCGCCGAATTGCCGCTACATCGGCGATGCACCGGCGATATAGTCGACGTAGGTGATGCATCGGCGACGTCGGCGTGGAGAAAATCGAGCTCCACATCGAGCCGCATCGCCGATGCATCGGCGATGCGGCGCGATCCTCCGACCCCATCTACTCGGAGCCCATCTGGGTGGCACATAGCCATAGTCAATTCAATTTCCACCCTACGCATCTTCCTTTGCCGTGCCAACCTCGGCGCACGAGCTACATGTGGGACCGTATTTGGACCAAATTCGCCCCTTTCGCAAGGGAGACGAGATGAACGAGGAGCGGAAGGAGGAGCAGGAGGGGCGAGGAGGAGCAGGAGGAAGAGCCAAATGCGGTCCAAATGCAATCTAAATGCCGAAAAAGGCCCCCTATGAACAGACATCGAACTCCTCCAACATCGCGAAAAATGAGAACCGCAACCCTAGACCCAATCCTTCTGCGGCACTTTGTAAGACGTGCCGATCTGTGATGGTCCTGGGGCCTGGAGCCAGGCGAAAACGACCAGCATGAAAAATTGCAGCGCCCGGATCTCAGGGCTCTCCCCCTCTCCTGCTCGTTCGCCGCCTCCTCCCGGCGCACACTCTTTTCTGGAGATGCCGCGCCACGGCGCAAACAGCACCACGGCCCGCCAGGCATCACCACGCCGCGCCGAACGGCGAGGGCCAGAAGCTGTTGACCACGGCCTCCGCGTCAGTCTGGAGGAGGAGGAGGAGTCACACCGTCCCAGGGGAAGGTCGTGCACTGGTCGCCCTGGCCCAATACACTGCCTTAGGCCGAGCCCACAGGCCCTTGACTGACGGCAGAGGAGGAGGGAGAGGAGGAGGAGGAGAAAACCTCGGGCCCAAACACTTCCGGCCTGGGGCAAAGCGACGCGGCCTGCCCTTGGCTCCGAGCGGCCCTGCGATCAACAGACCACATTATCTGATCGACTGATCGCACTGATCGATCTTCAAGCTGACCTCGCGCCGAACTCATTGTTGCGACCTCGCGCCGGCATAGGCAGACGCAGCACAACTAGTATCATCAGTACAGCTCAGATCACATATAGGGCGAAAGTTGGCAGCATACGCATCGTCTTCAATGTTCTGAAGCACATTGGGTTCCCAACGTATCAAGAAGATGGCGATTCCGCGATAGACGCTCCTGTTTTAAGTTCTCATAGCGCCTCACATTCCCCACACGTGTTTCTTGGAGCATGCGAAGTTCAACACCGCTGCGCCGAATCTGCAGCAGCTGCAATATTATCAGTGGTTTCTGGGTTCTCGCATGAACACCAAGGCAAACAACATTGCATCCTCCAGAAGTCTCGTTCTGCCCGATATCGCCCCCAGCGTCGGATACATCTCTTCGCCGCCAGCAAATACTGCACGTCTCGAAACTTTAAGTTGAGCATATCACGGATAAGGTATGTGGCACGGCGCATCGTTTGCATCGTTAGCCCCACGTTATAGACAACAGTGTCCAATGCTTCGAACCACATGGTATGTCTTACCCAGCACTTGCTGAAACTGGTGGTGATGTTTTCGAAACGCTGGTTTGAGCATCAAAAAAACATATATCAGCAAACGCATCATAATTGATACATGACATCGCACCTGCTAGAACGCTTGGGTTGGATGCATTGGTCTGCTTTGGATCGGCCACTCGGCAGGACGGTAATGACGTTTCAGACGATTCGGACAGCAATGATCCTTCAGACGGCATGAGAATCAAACTGACCATACCCTTCAACTCTTGCACAAATGATACCGCGTCACATTGGCTATGAGTCGAACTTATGGGAATGACCAGATCAAGTTGGTGTACAATGCTCAGCACAGCGATGAAGCACACCCGCAGAGCAGTTCAACGAATGTCTGACACATGTTACCTGGCTTCACGATCAACATGGCTTTCATTGAGCATGGTATTTCACGTTCTGCATTTCAAAGCTGGTATGAGGATGCAGGCGCATGAATATTACACCGCGCCACTAAATTCTGACGCTTCGCGTACACACCCTGCCCATCACTGCGCCACGGCATTATCCGGTCACCATCATCACCCTGCTATCGTTATCATCCAAGGCCCGATGGGCATAGTTTTCCGCACGCTCGACACTTGTAGCTCTGGAAGGAGGCGGAGGAGCGTGGGATCCCACGCAGCGGTAGCGGTGGATGGGAAGACATCTTTCATCAGCAGACTTTGTCCAGGCGTGCGCCCGCTTAGCGCTGGTCATTTCCTCTCGCTCTGCTTCTATCCACATCGAAGGCATCGGAACATGGGCCAGTGCACTGTAGGCTTTCGGCAAGCGCCGCAGCTGCTCGTTAAGAAAGACGGGGGGGGGTAGGTGGATGCGGGGCGGAAGGAAAAGTGGAGGAATCCCTTGTTGCCGCCAGCCTGGATCAGTACTAAAGTGATTTACTCAAGACCCTCGGTGAGGGCCACCGCGTAGCCTGGACATCTGTCTGCCAGTAGTGTCCAGGCGTTTAGCGCGCTTAAGCGTTTCGGGCGGAGGAGGGGGAGGAGGTGGTGGTTCCGAGGGAGGAGGAGGAGGAGGAGGAGGAGGAGGAGGAGGAGGAGGAGAAGGAAAAGGAGGAGAAGGAGGAGGAAGGAAGAGAAACATAGCAGCAGGAGCGCAGCTCCCTGTGTGAAGCGTTCTGGGAGTGGTTGGAGGATGGAGGGAGGAGGGTCTGCGCTGATCTCGTAGTTCCACGCCGCAGTAGGGAGCCCACAAAGGACGTACGCGCCCAGCTATGTACATGAACACGCCCCCTCGATTCGCGAGACCGGCCGCGTTATACGAACATTTGTCCAATGCGTGCTCTCGAAACCAGCGTGGATTCATGTACATGTACGTCCTTTCTTTCGCTCCTGACGCAGGGTCTGCGCTGATCTCGTAGTTCCACGCCGCAGGCTCAAGCGATGACCCTCGATGAGGGCATGCACGCCGCATGCATCACCCGAGCCGCAATTTCAAACGATAACCCGCGATGACGCGCGCTCGCATCACCCAGGCCGCAGTTTCAGGCGATGACCCTCGGTAAGGGCATCCCAGGAGGAGAAGGAGCATGATGTGGACAGAGGGGGCCTGCAAGAGGTGGCGGACGTACACCGGCCAGGCCCTCGGCGAGGGCAGACGTTAGCATATTCTGCGGACCGCCAGGACCTAAATTTCAGTGGCATCTCCAGCGTTTGACCGTCCCCGGCTGGACGGTAACATGCCGAACGAATCGACAGGCTGCGAGCGTGTAGACCGCCAGGGCCATCGGCGAGGGGACCCGGGCCGAGGATGGATATTGGCATCAGCGGGTGCTGTGCATGTCGACCGCCCACGCTGCAGTACGGAGCGTGTCGACGCCAGATTGACGCAGCGGCAGACCCGAGCAAGAGCTTGACTTGTCCAGGACCCTCGGTGAGGGCAACATGGAGGATGAGGGTGGAGGTGCAGAGCATGTGGTGGTGGAGCTCCACACAAGTCATTATTGGCGGCACCTGCCAACGAACAGCTCGCGATTCTATATCTCAGTACCGCAATCGCACTCGAGCGGCACCAGGCCAGCAACGGCTTCAGTAGGATGAGCGCCAGCAATTTGATTACTAGCTGCCCTCGTTCGGGGCACGAGCTAACCTCGATAAGAGCCCTTGTCATGGGAAGGGCCACGCAACAGACATAAGTCCACATAATCTCCGAAAGAGAGTCTACCCAACACGCTAGCGACATGCCAAACGAGTAACGACTCTCAAGGCCCGACACTTGAAAACCATCCAGCTTCGGTACTGCCTTGGTGCTCGAAATCGCTAAAATAGGTTGGGACATCATAGCACTAAACCCTCCCTCCAAGTTCCCTCTTCGCAGGCCCTTAGAAGGGTTTACTATGGTTGCGGGAAGTGCCCCGTTGAACAACAGTTGTCTGATAATCCTCGATTGTGCTCACACGCCGTTCCTGGGACTTCAGCGCCGCGAATCAATATGCCGATTGCGTCCTACCGGTCCGAAAACCAGAATACCATCTCTGGGACATCAACACCGCGAATCAACGTGCCTGTTGCGTCGTAACACTCTTACATCTTGCCAGAAGACAAGTTCGGGGATTTCAACCCAACGAACCCGGGTACTTGTTGCAAACTTTGAAATCCAATGCGCGCGGCGCTAACTCGAGAACAACAGTTTGAAACGGACCCGCCCTCCACCCTTGAACCTGTTGCAAACTTTACAGCGAATGTGAGCGGCGCTAAATCAAGAGCCACACACTGAAAAGGACCCACCCTCCATCCTTCAAGCGGTTGTAAGCTGTGAAAACGCATGTGCGCGGCGCCAAAGCGAGAGCCACATTTTGAACAGCACCCGCCCTCCATCCTTGAAACTGTTGCGACTCGCAAGCTTCACGATCGTATACGGGGGGAGGTCTCAAGCGAAACGCACGGCCCACCCGACCGATATGTCTGGGGGGTGCGACAGGAAGGAATTAATTGTAACAGAAAGGACTGAAGAGGAGAATGAGGAGGAGGAGGAGGAGGAGGAGGAGGATGAGGAGGCAGCTCCTCCTCCTCCTCATCCTTTTCCTCCTCACCATTCAGGGTCTTCGAACGGTGGTCTCCCAACGGGGCAGTTCCCTCAGTGGAAACGAACTCTTGCAGGGGCCTGCGGAGCGGGAGCCTGGAGGGAGGCTTCTTCCAGCATCGTTGACCAGTCTTGGGTTTGCACTGGTCCTCCTCCTCCTCCTCC